CACAGGAGCAGGACTGTACAAGGACAGTGAGAGGGACACAGGAGCAGGACTTGCTCGCCTGCGCCACGGCCCCCGAGCACCGGAACACTGCCGCCACGCCCCCGTCAGTCATCCCATCCTGGTCCTGCCGTGTTTCCCAGTTGCCCTTCTCCAGTCTCTCCCGGATTTTACCATCTGCATAGCGTCTGCACACGCACTACAAGGGAGTCTGAACCGGCTCCCGTTACAGGCTCGGCACCAGCACACACCTCGACACGCTGTCCCTTGAACTGTGTGGAGCAGCGTGTCCTTTAATCCTTACTGATTTGCACCTGACCCACTTTTTGTGCTTGAAGATTTTGGTTAGAGAGGGAAACAGACATTAAAAACTCTGACCACTTCATGCAAACTGGGTACTGGCTTCAACAACACGGCTGGGTAGCTTCTCTCCTACTCCTACAGCTCTTTGGGTAATGAAGTGCCTCCTAAAATATCAGCCTAACATTCCTGTGTTGTGATTTTTTTAATCATCTGGCCCAGGGATGCCACAAAACATTGTCAGTATTAAATGCTTTTAATAATAATAATAAAAAAACAAATGTGATCCTATTCAGTTAGCTGGGATATAGATTTCAGTGTGTTCATCTGTTCTTTGTAACCTCCTTAAATTCAACACCTTGGGTGAAATATCATGGGAATTATTTCATAATGTTTTACACTACTGGTACCTGAGGTCAGGTAACACTGGTGCATTTAAATACATTGGTTTGAAATAAATATTCATTTAGTTATTGAACTATTTAATTGCATATCACTCCACAGTACTGTGCGTGTCAAGATAAATGGGATGAATGCTTTTGTTATGTATCATTTATTTGGGATGGGTGTCGTCTTTTTTTTTCACAGATACACATCAAAATTCAGAGAGCGAGTGAAGAAGGATGCTCAGAAGGACAAAGCAGCCAACAGAACCATGGGTCCAGCAAAAGTAGAAGTCCCATCGCCAGAGAACTACCTGCTGAAACACTCAAAGGAGCCCAGACTTCCCGACAGTAAGCCCTTACTTGTGTAGAGAGAGTGAAGGGACTGAAAGCAGAGCAGTGTGGCTGTTCTGCTGCATTAGATAAGTAAGCATGGACACCACCACATGCTTATTTCTGGAAATGTCCAGTCTGCCCAGCTTCACAACAGTACTGCGCTTGCCGGAGTGGTGCACGGAGTAGATTCAGTACATCAGTATCTGTTGACCTCTTTATGGAAAGCACTGGCTGCAGATATATTTTAGTTAACCTTTACTCCAAATCACATCCAGACTTCGTTGTCTCCATGTCATCAAAACCAATTTGTTTGCATTGCTATGCTAATGTGATTTGTGTGCTAAATGCAAAATGTATGAATACTGTTACTGAGAACTTTCTGAAACTTTCTTGTGGGAACAAGAAGGTGATGTTCTTGATTTTGCAGAGAAACCATTCACTCACAAGGATGATGAAAGGAAAAAACCCAGAGTACCTGCCAAGACTGACCACCCGGTTATGGGCATTCAGACCAAGAAAAACTTCATCACTGCCAATGCCATTGAAAACATTATGGCAGTGCCAAAGAAGCCCCAGCCCACCTATGTTGACACCAGAAGAGGAGATAAGCAACCTTTGGAAACTTCAGGCCTGGTGCCAAAGTTTGTGAAGAAAAAGGTATGTCCTGAGGAAATGTCCAGGACGTCTGTGCCGGATGAAGCAGGCCTCTGAGAGACCAGACCCTGGGTGGGGCCTTGAGCAGATGCTTCACTCAGACTGCTCCAGTAAATGTCCTGCTGTACAGGGCATTGTTGCCAATATGAATTTGTTCTCAGTAACCTTGCTGAAAAATTTGTTTAAAAATAATTTCACAAAGAGTTGTGATGGTCACTTCAATTCAAAATATTTTTTTCATCCCCAGTTTAACCTGATGTAGTTGAAGTGGGACATGTATATATCTCACTTATCCAGCATCACAATGTCACCACTTCAGCACATTGTGAGAGGTGTTGATGGGGTCTGTTAATTTAGCCTCAAACAAAAGTCACGCTAAGATGCCACATAGCTGACTTGCTTTAGCAGTCCCAGTGATTTAACACTACATAATAACAAAAGGAACAACACCCACAAACAGGACAAAGCAGACTAATGTCTGCTGCATATCAAAGGACAGAACCTAGAGCAAGACAGAGCAGGACAAGAAGGAATTACATATCAAAGAACAGGACAAGCACTCAGATCGTGAAACAAACTTCTTTCTGAGTGTATATAAGAGCTGGGAAACCCTTGCAGTCTGTCTGTTCTGTGGGGCAGACCCAGCGCACGTTGTGTACTTATTGAGCTCAATAAAACTGAATCTGCACAAGACCGTCCTGCTCCTCTGATGAAGAATCTCCCACAACATAGTGATGATACCCTGGCTTCTGTCCACAAAGAGATGGTTGAAAAGATGCTGGATGAGATCTTTGTATCAGTATACAAGCAAGATGTAGCTCCTCTCATTTGAAGCCTTCCTCAGGTTTCCTGTAGACTTGTCTTCACTTTTGAGCACTGAGGCAACTGTCCAGTAGGTGGTGCTGAAAGCACATATAGAGATGTAATAAGAACTGTGAGGATGTCGGACCGAATTTTATTTGTGCACTGTGACATGACCAGTGACGGTCTTATCTGTTAGTTGAATTTTATTTCTCAGAAGTGCTGGAGTTCTTATTTTAAGTCGCACAACATGAGCAATAAGGGAAAGGGAAGCTCGGGTGAGATCCCAGAATACCTCCTGTCTTTGCCCTACTCATTTGGCTCAGCTGGCCTGGTCAGCAGGTGCTGCAGAACTTGGCCCTGAGCTGTCAGCAGAGCCTGGGTTTGACTGCAAGGGCCAGTGCAAGCCCTGGGAATGTGGACTACAGTCTTAAAGCCCCTTGAGGTCCTGCTGTCAAGATCATCAGCCCGGCACATTTGTGTTTTTAATGATCATTTGCTGTATTTTTTTCGTTTTTTGAATGAACACAACATACGAAAAGTATGAAGCAAGTCTCGTTAATCTGCAAACATCATCAAACTTCAATAAAATGCAAAAACAGAACTTTTACCCTTTTCATTAAAGTTTAGATGGTTTTTCAGATTTACAGACACGCGCAGTAAACAGTAAAATCAGACATTGGCTGGATTTATACGAGCAGAACACCAGCATGTTAGGTTACGTAAACGATAAGTGCGTTGAGTCTTCATTGCTTTAGTGTGTGGGAAACCCTTTCTGCAGATGTGCTGTGTGTTCCAGCTCTGCGGAGGTTCTTGTTGGTGCCTCAAAGTTCATGGCCACTCGGGCTTTCCTGAGTGGTGCAGCTGACTGACTTGGCTCCCTCCTGCTGCAGGACTATGGCCACACCCCCGAATACCTGCTGCAGAGGAAGGAGGAGGTGAGGAGGGCCCAGGAGGAGTACGATGAGTATGTGAAGGAACGCCTGAGGCAGGGAGCAATGAAGCAGCTGTCCGAGGAGGAAAGGGAAACTGTTCTTCAGGTAAAACACTGGTTCTAGCAGCTTGTTGGGATCCATACAACCACAGAAGTATAATCTGTGGGAAGTAAGTGGTGCTATTAAGGTGGGGCTGCTGGTGCAGCATGGCCTCTGTGTGTCTCCCAGGAGGGGCTGCTGGTGCAGTGAGGCCTCTGTGTGTCTCCCAGGTGGGGCTGCTGGTGCAGAATGGTCCCTGTGTGTCTCCC